GTATATCGTGTAATTATAGTAATCAAGAATTATTACGCGCCATCCGGACTAATAATACTCATATTAGAAGCGTGTCGTAAAGTATGCCTTTCCGCGCAAGACGCGTCGTAAATTATCATAGATATCATATAAGAATATATAATTAAATTGGTTTTAATTTAATCTAATTTAACAGCTCTAACACCATTAACCGATTTACGAAGCCATATTGGCAAATGATAAATTATTAGTTGCGAGCTATATGAGTGTAGATTTCTTATTCTATTCTAAGAAACATTTTCGCATTCTTTATGATGTAATAGATATAAATAAATAAGATATAAAGAAATAAATAGATATAAAACTCTATTATATTATACATATAATTTACTGCAAACTCTTCGCAAATATTAAACACATAAAAATTCATTTATTTCTTATTTGTAAGAAGCGTCTCTGAAGGTTCAAATAAAGTTTAAATGTCGGTAATTTCAGTAATATCTCAGTTATTTTAATTAATTCTAGTCGCTTCTCACCTCGGTGCTCGTCACCCACGACACACAGGCTTATCTAATTACATGCAAGTTGGAAACTTTTTAATCAATAAATCCACCTGCTTCTCCGCTCGCAATCTACAGCTCGTAAGTTCGCCGATCGCCGATGCATACGCGATCTAAGCGCATGCGTGCTCACGCACTCCGTGAGCGTGGTCTTATGATTATGAATATATACAGCAGGTGAGAGAGAACGAGAGAGAATGGTCCAGGTGGGAGCGTGGGGGAGCGGATCGAGTTGTCCAACCAGCGGGATGGTAGCCGCGGACTGCCCACCGCGGCCCATTGGCCGGGTTCGCGAGCCCGCTATCGTATTATCGCCGGGGCTCGCCGTTACGATACATCGGCGGCCGACCGATCTATCGCGCGCGTTCTCCGACCTGTCTGCGTGCCACGCACCTGCGATCGATCGCGCGCGACTATCCGCCGTTCGATCGCGTCGCTCGCGGAGACGAAGCGACGCGTGAAAGCGCGCGCGCGCCCGCGCGGGCGAGCGGATGCTTATTAATGCGAAACGCGTGACGCCCACCTCGTATGAAAATCGGAATGGTCCGTGGCGTAATTGGTAATCACGGTGATCCTCGACGGTAATTTCACGGAAAGTTCGTAAAAATTTAACGGAACTCGTGCAGAGATCGTAGATTGGCGACGAGGAAAAATCGCGGAACTATAACGATAAACCGCGCAATCACCGGCTAAATATATCTGAAAATATAAAAAACGCCTGTAGGCAAAAACTTTCCACGAAAAAATTGTTTCAAAATCGCTCAACTGTGTAACAAACTTTTTCATACCGTTATCTTTTTTTTTTTTATAAATACTGTAAATCATCAATCGACTAACATATCTCACGCTCGAAACAAATAAAACTATCGATCCCGTCTTATCTATTCTGATATTTAGAAATTTATCATGCGCCAACACATAATATTTATCTAAAGAATCCACACTTTTCAACATATAAAATGGCGTGTTTGTTTAATAGTTAAAGAACACGCGCATCTATCAGTATTTACTCTTGGCCGCTGAACAAAAGTATTATCATAACTTACAATATTCAATAGATAAGATTTTATCTCTTTTAGCGCTTATATTTCGTGCTATAATACTATATACCATATAGAAGATAAAAAGCATTAGAGTATCTGATAGTTTCACGACACAGTGTATTGTTCTTCTATATTGTACCGATACGAAAACCGATAGTATATCGCGTTCAGCGTGTAGCACTTCGAAGAAATGCGCGAGTCGGCCAGGGACATACGATTGCTGCGTAGGAACGTGGAACGAACTCCGTGTATATCCTGAGAGGGAAGAAACGCAGAGAGGAGGCAACGGCTGCCGGAGGAGGACGACGAGGGCGACGGAGGACGAAGAGGGCGAGGGGGGCTCCTGCCGACTTACAAATTATACGCGCTCAACGAGATTTACGGGTGACGCTTTGAGCGAGACCATTGTCCATCCTCGCTCACTTCTTTACCTCTTTACTCCTCCACTTGGTCTCGTCTTTGTCCCTTCGTGAATCGCCCATCCTCCCTCGGCTCCTTCGCGAGTCCTTTCGTTCCCAGAGGACCGGCACGAGAAGGACGGAAGGACGCGGCGGCGCGCGAGCAGAAGGGAACGAGAGGAAGATAGAGCAGTATTCGTCGCGAAAAAACCGAGGAATGCCGATCGACGAAAGGGAATCCGGTTCCAATCGGATAATCGGAGCCCCCGGGTCCTTGCCGGGCCCTAGGAGGACTCGCGAGAAGGACGTAATGCGCGACTCGATGACGAACGATCGTACGAGCGACTGATTTATGGTACCCGCAATATTTTCGGAGCAGGGATAGCATTCCGCAGGAATGAGGATCGCAGAAATGACGTTTCGTCGGTTCGGTTAGAAACATTAATCCTCATCGTTTAATTTAAAGAATTTTAAGAATTTAAGTAAGTTGATGTGCGCTTAATACGCCGATAAATTCGTGTCAAAGCAATGCTTTAATCGATGAACACTCTCACGTGAAATGACAAGGAATTTATACGTTGCATTGCGATATTTATCATCGTAGTACGTATATGATCGATAAATATACTATTTTTAATAATGTCGAAATATCACGACAGAGAAATAAAAAAAATCTTTCAACTTCTAATCTTGTCATCGAGAAGCCAGTGCGTATTATAGGAATAATATTACTCTAATAGATTTATAAGATTTATAGATTGAATTTCGTGGCTGTGGTATGCGCCGCGATAACTACTGAAGCGGATAAAACGGTGCGACACGTGTCTTCATGCGCGATAGTAGCCGCAGATTAACTCGCAGATGATGAACGCAGCACGCAGAAAGAAAGAGCGGAGAGTTTCCAGTCTGGCCGTTAAGTACCTGTTATCGAAACACAAACCGTCATCCTCCTAATATATTTATCAAACACGCCGTGAACGACGGCTGCGACAGGTAAGCGAGCCAAAAAGCAACAAGGTACGAACTCACAGCATCGTCAGGATGCAGAAATCCGCCTTAAATCGGAAACAAATATTTAACCACTCTCAAGAGGGACTCCTCGTCTCTGCGAGACCAACTTCCTAGCTTCTGTCAAAATGTGCCCCGTCATAAATGTGTACTCGAAAGAAAACGTTTCATTCACAATTTAAAAAATCTATCTGATCATCAGAATTGATATAATATGATGACAATAATCACTGCAGGTAATTATGTAGTAATTAATTTTATAATGTTTTTTCAACATATGATAATAATTGAATTATATTATATATTTTCATCTTGTTGATATATGCATAAAATTCACGTTACGCCAGATAGATACGACACAGTCTCCGGATGCTGTAATCCCAAGTGACACGGGCACGATAACGTTCTATCATCGTGCAAACATTTGCATAACAAAGTGAAGTACACAATAAAATGTCGTGCTACCGGGTAATTTATTGTTACTCGTCGAGATAATTAGAATTCAACCGTAGCTACTGAATGTGTCACGTGACCTCGCGTTGCGATAATTATTACGTTCGATATTTTAGACTCTTCTTCATCAACCGACGTAATCGTCACGCAATTCAGAAATAAACTGAAATAGAGTAGTTTAATAAGCAGGCAAAGTGAGTTCGCTTAAAATCACAGTCAGAAATAAAGAGATATTTAGAGAAGCGTTTTGCGTCGTCAATAATGAGCGATTTACGTAGCACAAAATGAAGTCATAAATCTCGACGACGGGGCTTGCTTATAAGAGCATGGATAACTACCAAAGGAGGATTTATAGCGCCATTACTCATCTTACGTGCGCGTAACGCGCGACGTAATTGATAACCCAGATGACGCGTGCACCTCGAAACTGGAGCACTCGTTAGTTCTTCACGTTCACCAAGTATTGGCGTTAAAATGCAACCAAAGCGACAATCTCGTATCCGCGCGTAAGCTGTAATACTGTAGCAGCGCTTGTACCAAGATCGAAGATACAAGTACGCGAGCAAGAACACAGCAATCAATATTGATGTTAAACGCGAAAACGATAATTTGCTAAGGAGGGTTATACGGAAATTTAGCTGCGTATAATGAACAAACATTTACACTTCAAATTTAACGTAAGCGAGTAAGTTGCGTAAGAAAGAGAAAATCGTGACGAATAAATCCGTGATGTCAATGAAATCGGAACGCTCGCGATTGTCTTTACTCATCGAAATAAACAAGGTTCAAATTATGCAAGAAATATTTGTTCTATATTCCTATTTTCTTATCTAAAAGCGCAAAGTAGGAGACTGTACATATGACTTATGTTTTTCTAACCCTCGTTTTTATGGCCGTCACGTGTAACGGCGCCAAGGACATGACAAGCTGTTCTCTCTTTATCTCATTTTTGGGAGACTTCGACGAGGGAAGCGAAAACGCGTTGTTATTCCTATCGCGGAGGCAACCGTCGCTGCCGGTCAAGATAATCACGTTAAGATAATCGCATTAAAAATACTAGAGTGAGAAACGTTTTACCGCGTTCCGAATTCGTAAATCCAAAGGAATCTCACGAAAATTTATTCACTATAAATGTGTGGTGCAAAATTCTTCTTTATATATACATACATATATATACTATATATATATATATATATATATATATATATATATATAAACATAACACATAGAGCTGTACTATTATAAATGTAATTTCTTACATTAAATCGAGATATTACTTATAACCTTTAATTAGGAAAATAAAACTCATTGTCCGAAGCAATCAATCACATACGAATATAATTTATCTACTTCGACAATGCTTATTTTTTAACAAAGGAGTAATTAAAAAGACAGTGAGAAAAGAACATTCTTGAATTTTAATTCTGTACAATTTATGTTTCGCTATTAACTTCACATAAACTCTATGAGCGATCTTGTTAGGTTTTAGCACAACGCATCTTCGCAATAACCGATAAAACAAAAGAGAGAAAGAATCATATCGCAGAAGGGTCACTCACCAGAAAGAGCCGGTGATGGGGGTGACGAGGAGAAGGCAGATCGCCACGAGAACGGGGCGCATCTCCATCCCCTCCGCACCTGATAACACCCTCTCGAATCGATCACCGATTTCCTTTGTCCGCTCAACACACTGACGATTGATGGAAATGGTCGCTGGAAGTCGCGACAATGCTGTTCGTGAGTGCACCGATGTCCGGCTGCAAAGACGAGTCAACCGCGAATCACCGCGAGTTCACCAGTACGTGTTCTTTGGTTTCTTCGAATGCACCTCGTGGCCGAATATTGGCACGCAAACTGACGCACTGTCCCCTCTACCACACGACTTCCTTATCGTGTGGTCCAGCAAAACTCGACATTGTAACGTAGATCAATCGCTTGCAAAATGCCGCTAGTGATCTTCTTACGTGTTCTTCTTGAAATGTGTTCTCGTTGACTCGACGACGTTTTCGCGATTCAATGGAATAGATTCTCTCCGGATTGATACAGAAGTGTCGGAGGACGATGGTCATCGCTTACGGATTTACTTGCAAAATTCTTCGTCCTTGATCGTTACATCTATTGAAGAATTATTGATGGTGCATGTCTCAACACATTTTGCAAAGCAGAGATATCGAGATTACGCAGCCATGATGAACGCGGGGAACACTCGATCTTCATGATCGCATCGCACTGAAAATGCTTGAGGGCGATCGGAGATATCCTTCATTGGAAGAGACATGTCTTCGAGATCTCGAAAAAAGAGCTCGCGATTCAAGAAAGACCCGGAAGAGGAGCACTGACTTCCGGTCACTTGAACCATTTGCCCCCCCTCTTTTTCCCCCTTCCCCAACTACCCCTCTGTCTTTCTCACGCACCTGCTGTGGCTCCCTCTTCTCTCTTCTATCTGTCTGTCAAAATATTTGACGTTTCTCTTCCTTCTCCTCTTTTTCTCTATTTCCGTTTCTTATTCTTTCTTTTCCTCTCTCCCAAAAGTGTCAAACTATGTAAGATTACAGATGAGGCGTAGAAAAGTTCTCTTTTCTTGCTACGTGCGCAAAAACGCGTCGCGTTCCTGCCAGAACTACGTCACCACGATCTTTGAGTGTTGCCTTACCCCCACCAATAAAGTTCTGGGGAGTAGAGAAGAGCTGCCCCCACCAATATACGCCGTTTTCTTCTTCTTCTTCTTCTTCTTCTTCCTCTTCTTCACCGGCACCAGCACCACCACCACAAGAACCATCACCATCGCCGCCGTCGCGAGACCATCGTCATCGACGCCCGCGACGGGTGCATCTTCGATTTCGCCGTCACGAGAAACGCGATCTTCGGGAAGGAGGCCATCCCCCTCGAAGATGCCGAAGATTCTCTTCAAGTGGATCGACGGATCAATCGGAAAGTAAATCGCGAATTTCGTGTAACGCGTATAAAATTGTAAGCGAGAACGAGAACGAGAGGAAACACCGACGGAAGATTGGAAATAACGGTGGCAGGAGGGGGAAGGAGGGTGGAAAGCCTGTGAGAAAGTCTGGCGTAAGTGGAAAAATCCAAATGGTAGGGGAGACAGTCGAGGTTGAGCCGTCTGCGATCGCCGGCGAGGCTCCTGGCCGGAGCGAACCGTACGAGACTGTTGCGGACTAGGCAGGTGAGCGCCGCTCGGCGGCAACGAGACGCAACCGAGCCCCTCTTTTCCTCTTTTAACTCGCCTACGGAACCCGTCGACACGAGGAGGCCCGCTCGTCGGATCCTCTCTGCTCGCGCCGTGCTGCCTAGGATCCCACGGAGGGAGGCGCGACCACGTCTCGGGACTCGAACGCGCGATGTCAAGGTGATAGACGCGATGCTGCGCGATGAGTAATAGCGGTCAGAAATCATTAACAGGTCGCAATGAGATAGCACGGCCTTTAGGACATTAAAAAATGATCCAGTGTATGCTGCGCGTATAACAAATTCTTGTGGCATGACAATATATATCGGGCGTAAGGATTGAAACTTCTGGAAAAAGCGCTTTACTATGAATTTCAATAAAGTGAAATATGAGACAGTTGGAATCAGCACGAGACTTATCTTAAACTATTGAAGCTATATTGAAGTATATAAAAATACTTCAGCTATTAGTATGTAATTTAAATGTTCGCGATCGTGTTCTTAGAAATATCTGTAGTAATATTTTGCACAACTTAAATTTTTATCTCAATTTTACGATAAATTTATTACACTAATAAACGAAGAAATATATGAAATTTCATGTTTCTTTCATCTCATTTATAAGGTTAATCATTATCACGATATAGTAACGAAATTAGAGCGAGAGAAATGAAAAGAAATTGCTACCGCAATTTACTGTCTCGGAAAAAAAGAACTTCATCGGAAGATTATCCGGAGATCGATTTGACGCACGAATATACCTCTTATCCCTCTTACCCCCTATCCTTCTATCCACTCTTATTTCCGTAATAAGAAGTTTGCTGCGCCCTGTCAAGTGAATTTCACCCGAACGTGTCGCTGCCCCATCCCTTTCTCGCTCTTCGCCAATAGTAGCGCGACAAAGAGAACTCTTTTACCGGATGAGTTTTCAGGTTGAGAAGCGCCACGAGAAAAGCAGGTATCGATGATGATCCTGACATTTTCCGTGTCGCCATCCACCTTGACAGAGATACACGGGAGCGGTGTGTGTATGTGTGTGTGCGTGTGCGTGTGCGACTCGACGCGAGAGATCCGATCTCCCCTCGGTCTCGTGGCCCTACCAATACGAGTACGAAGCGAGTAAGGACTAATAACGGGGCCCCGGTAAGTCCCATTCTGATGCTTTGTGAAGGCGAGCTCTCCGCTCGGTAGCCGTCTCATGCCTCGTCTCCCTTCGACCCGCCACCTCGCCACGACTGGTCCTTTCGCGTCTTCTCCCTCGCTTCTTTCTCTTCCTCCTTTCCGACCGGCGACCTGCTCCTTCTACCTCCTCGCCTCCTCCCACCATATCATGGCTTCGGTACACGCTGCGGGCACCATCGTAGAGGGCTATTGAGGGCTTAAGCTGTCGGCGTGTGGCTCGCTACATCCTTTTCATCTCCGCCGCCACGACAAAGCCGCGAGGCGCTCGCGGCCGCAGCCTTTACCGGTTCCCGGAGCACTTCGCCGTTTCAGAGAGTGTATATCGGTGCTCCGAATTCTATTACACCATCAGAGACGGCCTAGTAATAGATGCAGCTTCTGCCGCTAACAGCGTTCTATTTCGGTAGCGGCGTTCAGCCTTTTAACAGTCGTCATTACGCGGAACGTACGGTAATTATAGCTCTCAGGAATATGTTTACTGCCGCGCTATACATGACGATATTTTACAATCTATGCATCTAGCCTCGCGTCCGCGCAATAATGGTAATCATCCAGCTAATAAGTCGAATCGTTAAGAATTTACGAGAGCTCGCCGGCAAAATCCTCTCATTCATGATCGAAATACGTGATCTCTGAAAAACAAATGATGTCTAACCTTGGAAGCTGCTTCGCGCAGCGTCTAATAAAATCAAGAGGAGCTTAATTATAATTAAGAGTCCTTAATTAATCGCTTCCGTGCCATCGATCGTACGGGTTACAGCGCTGATCGGAACGATTGACCTAATTGTTGGATCGGCCGCTGAGTCGCGGGTCAACTGCTTCGTTGACTGAATAGTTTTACGAGCAATAGCTCTCTCGATGTCACGACCATTTCCCGTTATTTCTCAGAACAATAGTTGGGACAACAAACTGCAAACTAGTTCGTTCAAACAAGCGGAAACAGAGTCTTCGTAGAAGAAAAGTGTATCGCCGATAATGTAGAATTAAAATAAATTTTACTGCGTTTAACAAAAAAAAATAAACAAATCTAATCGCATAAACCAATTAATATATATATGATTACATAAATATGGCTGCTTATATTAAAAAACTGAAATAATAGTTACGTCATTAATAATGTGTTACTAATATTTTACATAATAAAAATATGTATAATTATATTATTAATATAACAATATAAAATAATATGTATTTTAAATGTGGCATTAGAACAATATATGTCGAATAAATCATAACACAATTTTGCATACAATAATTTATCTTCATAAATATTATTTTAACGTTAATGAGTAATTATATTGTAGAAAAATGTTCATTCGACAAATCGATTTCTTAAAGAAAATTAATACTGTTATATTCCATTATCGTAAAATTCTTTTCTTTGCCTACTATCTCCGTAAGGATTTCTTTTTCTGAGCTCAATCTCCAGGAATGGGGCAGTCATTGATGGGATCTCAGTGATAGAGACGAGGGCGATAATAGCGGCAATGAAAGAGGGAAAAAAAATAGATGACAGCCAAGAAGCAAAAATATTGCAGGAAGAGTCGACAGCAGAAGAAGTCGTCTCGTGTGGTCATATCATAACCTGCGGGGCCAAGCAGCGTGAGTGGTTTTAAGCGGCGATGAAAGAGAGGGGGAATATCTCGAAATATGGTTCAAGAAGGGCAAGACGGGGAGAGGAGAAGTTCAGCGGGGGTCCGTATTACAGCTCATTTAGCAGCGGGGTCCTGTGCCCCTTTCTTCGGCGCCCCGAGAGATCCACTCGGTCCAGAACAGGTCCACGGACCTACGGCAAAGATGTGAGCCCGTTTCGTTCCCATAGAATCGGACCTCCTGGCACTTACAACCTTCTGCCACTAAGTAGCACATCTCTTCATATTTAGATACTTTATTCGTACAAAAGATACAATATCTGACTCAGTGACAAGAAGATACAGACAAACGCATAATTATGTGTTGAATTATGTTAAAAAAAAAAAAAAATTTTTTTCCTAAGAAATTATTCATATTCAATTAAAGTCCAAAGAAGGAATCAATATAAAAAAATAATGAACAGAAATATACGTGAAACAAACGGTTGTGAAACTGACAGAACGTTAACAATCAGTTCTTATTCGCGAATCCTTAAAGTCTCGCGTTCTCGCACCTCACATCTGTCATTTACACGAAAGAGAAATTTTGAGTGACCAACCGCTACGAAGAAGCGTAGGAAGAGAAGAAAGGGAAGTTGGAACGTACCGGGGCGGGAGGGCGAAACGGGTGTTACCGACTCGTGACCAACACAAACGCGAAATAGCCAGTAATTTATGGGTGAGACTAATTACCGGGGAATGCAGCTCCTTCGACTCTTCTCTGTTCCTAAGACCGCAACTGCACCAGACCAGTTTTCAGAGACGAGGAGAGCCACCTCTCTTATCCCGCCACCTTTTTCGTTCTCTTTCTCTATCATCCAAATTCGTCCTCCCCTCTTGCACTCCCCCTGCGAGCGTTTATACGCTTGCATATTAATTTTCGCGGTTTCCGATTAGTCCATGCGTAATTACATTGGTTCTGCGAAATTATCTATCTATTTCTATATATCTCTACACGTGAAAAAGAATATAGCCTATAATAATAATTATTAAAGTATGTAAAAAAATGTGTGTGTGTGTGTCATGAAATTTCAAACATCTAATTAATGTTAATTAATCTAATAAAGATATCAGTATTTTTATGAATTTTCAATATACTGTATATTTCATTGTAATTCTAATAAAATTAAAGTTAATCAATTTGACTTTAATAATTAAAATCACTAACTAATACGAGAACTGGGTAATGCGACTTACTACTCGATTATATCTATAACTCGATTTATCGGACGATAAGATATAGAATTGAAGCGATAGAGATAGAAACGATCCACGAAATTAGGGACTGATATCCGAGGATAATGGAAGAAAGGGCGGGCGCGTTCTCACGGAGTAACGCGCCCGGATAAAGGTGTTAGAACAATGCGCACGATCGTCATCGGACGTCATTTGTACATTAGCCCGACCCGGCAATTTAAGCCGCGCTCGGTGCACCCGGTGCAACGATTCCTCCTCGTTAAATGCCATTATCCGTTTCACCCGGACACCCGGTCGCCGCATGAGTCGTGAATTCCTGAGAACCTGCTCGAACATGCTGCCGTTGCTTGTCGAAACGGTAGAGGCGGTGCAGCGGCGTTATAGAGGCAGGAACAGATTCTTTTATTATGACGAGAGTATAGAGGAAAGAAGAGAGAAAGAGGGAGAAGGGGACATGGAAAAAAGGGACGGGACACACTAATGTACACGCGCGATGAGTGTGCCTCGACAAAGCTGCAGAATGTTCCACGGCATGATTTTTTTCAGTCCCGGCTCTCGGTATCCTCGCTGTTCTGCATGCCATTCGGCCGATGGCACGCCCGGCATTCGCGGCAAGTAATAGGAACGGATCATTATAACGACCGAAGTCACGGGTGTCTGGTAATCAATTCGGTTAATTGACTGCGCGAGAATGGCAAGAGTTTTCGCCTAGCTACTAATGACTTTGCGGAATGGATTTCGTGGCAACGCAAA